GGGTACTGTGGTAGATGCTTTCTTCACTTTTTTGGTTATGCAGATATTATCTCCACTTCATAGTGGAGGAAACAGGCCAAGATAAGGTGACTGCTTATTCATCAAATATACTCACTTGGAATATAAAGATGATTAAAACACAGTCCTCTTCTTTGAGGACCACAGAATATTGTAGGTGAAAGATACAGAGGCAGACAAGGGCAGGCATAAGCACAAGGTGCAATGACACCACAAAGATGTTTCCCAAGTCACAGAGTCAGTAAATGTCAGAGCCAGGAATCAATTCCTGGATTGTCTAGATTCAAACCTTAGCACCTTCCACCACTCTAGCCACACAGCAATAGTTGTCAGAGTCCAAGTTCTGAGGAAGGGCAGTAGCCCTTGATGCTGGCAGGAAATTTTTAAGAGCAAGAAGAGGACAATGGGAATTGAGATGTGGCCTGTACAGGTGACCCAGCAGCAGCTCAGGTCCAGAAGAGATGATGGTGCCCTCAAGGTTACCAGGTCATGGAGGCCCTCCCCTAGGGTAGGACTGATTCCAGAGCCTAGAGGTGGCAGTGTGTGGTTTTAGTTATAGAAGGCAATGGAGGCAATAAACCAGGCTGGTTCTTAGAGAGGCACATTGGGACCAAAGAACGGAGGGTCTCAAAAATCAAGTTGCGATTGAGAGGAGAGGCTATATTGGGAGTGGCAGTGGGGAAATGGGAATGAAATCAGACAATTTTGGGGCTGGAAGGAAAACTTGCCCAGTCTCTAGGATCATCATCTCCTTTTTGCTTCTGTTGAGTTCAATAGATCCTGACAGGATTGTCTGCCTTTTTAGAAACAACTTTCTTTCTTTCTTTCTTCCTTCCTTCCTTGTTTTATTTATTTAAGTAATCTCTACAGTCAACATGGGGCTCAAACCCATGACCCTGCAATCAAAAGTCATACTCTTTTCTGACAGCCAGGTGCCCCAAACAACTCTTTTGCTTTAAAACCTTGTCTTTTTTCTCCCCTCTGAGCACCAGATCTAGAAGAGGCCTGGGGCCCCAATCTTTTCTAATGCTTTGCCTCTACTGACTAGAGTGGCTAGATAGCCCAAGCCAACCTTCCATAGTTGGGGTAGGACTGTGAGCCACATCTCTGGGGCATGTGAATCACCACACTCTCTGAACAGTGGGCAAGGCAGGGAGAAATCAGAGAATGAGAGCTGAAGAGGCTAGGACAGAGAAGGCAAAGTGGAACAGCTTGGGCAAGAGAGCCTCCCTGGGCAGGTGGCTCCATTTGATTTCCGATTTAAAGGGGAGGCTTAGATGGCCAAGAAGAAAAAGGCTAATAAGAAAAATATTAAACTGCAGTGTGTGTGTCCCCAGGGACTTCCTGTTGCCATGACTGACCTCCCGGAGAGCGCCATTCGTTCCCGAGCATGGCAGCTTTATAGGCACTTGTAGGCCTGCAAAGAACACCAATTTGCTGCTGCAGTTTGTTTTGATAACTGAAACTTTCAATAAATCTATATTAAAATCAAAGGGAAAATTAACTAGGCCCCAGTGAGGGGCATAGAGATAAGGGAGCACATTACCACCCTGGCCCCAGCCACCCCACATCCATCTCTTAGTTCAGATTCAGGTCACCAGGGAGATGAATGGCTCAGGCTCATGGGGAACAGCCCTGGGGAAAAGCAGGGTGAAGAAGGCATGACCAGGTCCAGCTCCCACAGCTTCTGCAGCAGAGACTGTGGGCAGTAAGGGGGGAGGGTGAGAAGGTGGGGTGGTGGTGGTGGTCATGGTGGGAAGAAGAGTTGGAGAGAGGTGTGGAGGAGGGGCGAGAATAATAGTAATAAGAGCCAATATTTACTGAACTGTTTATGCTTTATGCTGGATGCCATGCTAAGCATGTTTGTATTTAATTCTACTAAGTAGGTACTAGTATTATCTCCACTCTAGAGATGAAGAAATGGAGCCTCAGAGAGGTAGTGGCTTGCTACAGATGGAGCCAGGACTCAAACCTGAACAGGTTTTCTCTGAGCTCATACTCCTTGTAACCACACTATGCTGTCTTATGCAGCTTACAGGGACTGTGAACAGCAGAAGCAGCTTTCCTGGTTCTTAGATAAAATAGTTTCAGACCCAGTCTGGGTTGTCTCAGCTGTGCCAAGTTTGGGAGCTGTCATGCACTGTTCTTGGGTTCTCTGCCCTTCCATTGCTTGGTAAGCCCTACGATTGTTGGCCACCCTTGTGGTTTCAAAGGGCAGCAGAAGAACCAACTTGGTCTCTTTAGCTCCTGCTCTCAGTGTTCACTTTAGCTCAGTCGCTTAATCCAGAAGCCTGGAGGCTGCCCAAGGTATATCTGTGTCTGTGTATTGGACTCAGTTCATCTGCCTCCAAAAATGCACTTGCCCCATCTATACCCCCAAACCAGGGCTTTGGCCACTTGGTTTTTGTGGGCAGCCCAGCTGCCATTACGGTCACCTCATTTACTAACACATCTGGTTGTCTTAGCCTCCTCAGGGATAAGGGTTAGGTTTGGACAGAGCCTCCAATGTGCCCACAGTGATGGGACTGCAGTGGGCCTAATTTGGCCAAACCAGGGGCTATGGTTCCTCTCATCATTTCTAGTCTGTTGAACCACTGTGCTTTAGGGTGTGGGATCTGGTGTCCCCTGTGGCTACCGGAGTAGTGGGGTAACACAACTCTCCCTTTCTCCCTGATAAGTGATGGTTTTATATGGCCTAAATAAGAGAGCAACTAGTCGTGTTTCTTTTGAAGCTCTGGTCAACTTTATAATACACAACCTTATATTTTCTTTCTTTTCTTCTCTGCCTCACTTCCCTTTGCCTCCTCAACTCTTGCTGCCCAGGGCTTGTATTTCCCAATGAAGTTTTACCACAATAAGCTTTACTCAGGCTGTTTTCTGGGAAACCATAAAACAGAGGGAATCACAACAGAGCCAAAGGCTTGAGGGAGCCAAATGCTGGGTTGGCAGCGGTGTAAGGCACCACATATATACTTAGCTCTTAAACTGTTTATTATTTGAATACATTTTGCCTGGTCTTTGTTCAAAAAGAGCTTATAGTCTGGTAAAGTTCTGGAAGCTGTAAAGGTGAGCTCTAGAGTACCAAGTAGGAAAGAGCACATTCTGGAGAAGTTAAGGGGACCATGGATGGCTCCTTGGAGGATACTGGTGCTGGGCCTTAAAAGAAGCCTCCAATCTATAGACAGTAGGTGTACTTCATTCTTACAGCCAAGAAGGTTGGCTGTGCCCTATTCTTAGGCCAGACTCAGGACATAACAAAGCCAAGGACAGGAGAGACCATCTCAGGGCCTCTCGTTTGTCTATTTACTTATCTGTTTGTTTGTTCTGCCTCTCTTTTCTCCTCCCCAATATAAAGGCTTCTCAAGGACACAGGTTTTATGTGTCTTATTCACCAGTGAATCCTTAGCAACAGAAACAGTGCCTGACACTTAACAGAGACACTATAAATATATATTGACTGACTAATCAACTGGGATTAATGTCTCGATGACATCAACGGGAGGAAGAAGACTCAATTCCAGCTCTAAGAATCAAAGGTTAGGAAGATGTGCATCTACTTTACCGACCTTGGGTTAAGTGACATCTGTCCCTGCTGATGTTTGTTTCATTTGTCCACATTTACCAGATTCCTGCTTTATATTTGGAACTGTGCTGGGTATTACTGATAAACAATATAGAAATAATGCTTACCTTAAGTGAATTTACAGGCCTGGGGGAGAGACAGGGAAATAGACAATTATAAAACAATGCAATAAATTCTGTAAGTGCAGAGTAGAATCACTTAACCTATTATGCAGGATTAAGGAAGACATTCCCTGATAGGGGTATTACTAGGCATTCCCAGTTCAGGCAGGAACCATTATGTTAAAGGTCAGATTTCACAGAGGTAGTAGGGCCCAGAAATTACATCATTTTCTTAAGTGAAAATATGCAAATGGCAGACAGAGGGCTTGGTGACCAAGCTGGTCCCAGAAGATGGTTTCTGGCTGATGGGGAGGCTATCAAAGCCATCGTTGGCCAAGGCCCAGGTTTCCCACTTCAGAACCTGTTACCCGTGGCTTTCCAAAGAGCCATAACCAAGATGAAGAAACACGTCTCGGGCTTTGGCCACACTTCCCTCCAGATGACAGAAGTGACTCTCTGTGGTAGCTCCCTATAGTTGAGGCCAGAACTCTTTTAACTCTGATGTTCCACGGGAACCAACCTGAACAAGTCAGTTCCCTCTTCCGTAGGAAGGCCCTTCAAAAATCTAAGAATTTTCTTCTTAGCCTAAATTCTCCCTCCTCTCAGCTCTCCCCAGACCCACCTCAGAATATGGATGATAATAATGACTTGTTGAATGAACTAATCACGAGCAGTCATCTAAATACAACACGTCATTTTATGAGCCTATACTCACCTCATGAGTATATTGGGAGGTGGGAAAACGGAAATGGGGGACCTGGGTCGCTCCTAGGTCTTAGAAAGTTTTTGTTAATTAAAAAATTTCTTTCACAGCTGGGAAGTGAACTCCCCCTTCACTCTCTTCTGAGTACGTGCAACCTCAAAACTACAAGTCCCATAAGATCGGACGCGGGGAGTCACCATCTTGACAGACCTTAGCGCGCATGTCGGCGGGAGAGCAAGCATTTGGGGAGAAGAAGCCCCGCCCCCCTGCAGCCCATTGGTCGGAGAAGCAAGCGGCGGGCTCAGTGGTTGGCCACCGCGCCCGCCCGTCAGTCGCGTCGGCCGGGGTCAGAGTGCGCGGAGGTGAGTCGGTGTGTTGTGGACTCGTGGTGCTGGCTGCCGCTGTTGAGGCGGCCGGGAACGGGCGGTGGGGAGCGGGCGGAGCTGGCCTTGCCTCTGCCTGGCTGGCGCCGCAGTCGGCGCGGGCCGCGCCCGCCGCCGTAAACTGCCCCGAGCGCCTGCTGAGGCCGAGGGAGACGTCGGGGCCTGCACCTGGAGGGAGCCTGCCGCGCTGGCCCCGAGGAGGGGGCGTTGCCATGGCGACAGCCTCTCCCGCCGCTGACGGGGGGCGGGGGCGGCCCTGGGAAGGAGGGCTGGTCTCCTGGCCCCCTGCCCCTCCCCTTACTCTCCCCTGGACTTGGATGGGTCCGAGTTGGGGGCAACACCCTGGGGTGGGTGATGGGGAGAGGCCCCCCAGATTGGGCCCTGGTTAATGCATGCGGGGTGAGGGTCGCGGCGCGCACACTATGTGCAACCTGGGGTGCTAGCCCACGTGCTCACCCTGGATGCATGATCTACTGAATAACGTTCGGGCTGAGAGGGAGCGGGGCAGGGCTTTGCAAAACCGACTGGGTGAGGTGATTAAGGGTGCTAACTTCTTACTTAGGGCTACTAGGGAAGAGCAAGAGGTTTGACCACAGAGGACATAACTCAGTAAAGAGGTGGTAGATAGAATAACCCATTCTTCCCTCTCCAGCACACACACGGTGTTAGCATTTTACCTATTTGTAAATCTGTAGCAGTGGTAGTAGCGATGGTAGGAGTGAATAAGGGGCCTAACCTAGCTAGCTTTCTGTTTGCTTTTCCTGCAAATGTTCCAGCAACAGGTGTTTTCTTAAAACAAAAAAGCATGAACTTGGATTAGGGCTTGACTGCGGGTTCTTGCAAAATGTAACTGCTCCTAGTTGACTTGGAAGATGCTGAATGTGGCCCCTTATGGGGGGTTTGGATTCTGCCCTTAGGGTTGGATTTTGCAAATTGATAATGCCCATCATTGTCTCTGCTCTAGGTCTCTGGCCACCTCTATGGTATTAGCTCTTATCAGACATTTTATCATTCTGTGAGCTGAGTGGCAAAAAAACACGAATCCCATTGGTTAAAAACTATACGCTATTTGAACTATAGTAGGTGTGATTGGCTGAATTGATTCTTGATTGTAGCGTTTCTACCAGAAATTGGCTTCATCAAATTCTGCTTTATTCTGACTTTATCATACATGGCATGCCTTGTTTTAGTGGGTTCGTGCCTGGAGCTTAAGTATATTATACCTGAATCCCCTACCATTTAAAAGCCAATTTATAAACAGGGACTTGGAGTGTGACTCCACTAATGTGTGTGTCTGTGATCTTGGTTAGAAACCCACTTGGCTGCCTTTCCTCAGAGAGGTGGGGTGTGGGGGAAGGGAGCTGCCGGGAAGTGATTGATAAGGTTTCCTTTATGGATTCTGTGGTGCTTCACTGGAGCTCAGAGCACTTTGGCAACTTAAGCACTCCAAATTAAAAGCTCGTTAACAATTCCTGCCCAAAGATCCTGTAAATAATCGGTTAGCTAGGTCCTAGAGCTTGGCTGAGAGCTCTCCTTCCAACTTGAAATTTCCAAATAAAAGTGCCTTTATTCTCTTTCATTTTGAAAAGTGTATTCTTTGTGGTCGGTTAGGTTGGTGAGTGGTCTTTCCTAAGGGATTTGAGTAGACTAAAGTCTTAAATGTGTAGAGTGGTAGACAGGAATAGATTGGTTCCAAACCTAAGTGTTTCTTTGTGCAAAGGGCATTGCCCACTTACAGGAGCACCTCTGCAGCTTCTAATCTTCTGAAAGATCTAAATTAGGTGATGAGTATGATAGGTGTCCGTTAATGATTTGACTTAGGGTTTGGTTACACTTTGAATTTCTTAGGACTTGAGGTAGACCTGGAGGTATCCTGTAAGTATTTAATAGTCTATTTGGCCATTTGCAGTAAGACCTGTGGGTTTGTGGCAAACAGCCCCTCCTCCAATCCTGGCCTCAGTTCCTGAGTTCTGAATATTATCAGCCTTACCAGTTACCCATCCTCGAGTAGACTAGGATTCTGGTGTTATCCTGAGAGACACCACTTCATGGCCATCTTTCTCAGTCCAAGCTCAGATATTACAAATGTTTAGTGTTTCTAGGAGATAACCTCCTTATGAAGAGAAGTATGCTACCAGAGAATGTGAAATTCATCATTCTGAAAATATATGGTACTATATATATAGCTTCCAAAAGCTCTGTTCAGGCATTGTTCTTCCATATAGATAACTTATCCCAAAGTAGTTTTGAGTTTAGGGGCTTGAGATTTGGACCCTTAAATTGTTTCAAACAGCAGCATCCCCTGGGGATTTGATCCTTTATACTGAAATAGACTTGTTGCAGAGATGTGTATTTATCCACAGCATTGGGGCTTTCCAGCTCTCACAGAACCTTCAGCATCCCCAGCTGGCAGTCTTGGCATCTTCGAAGTAAGGAGAGGTGAGAATCCTGTTGCATGGTCAAGTTTGGCTTGACTTCTTTCTTATGAGTATTTGGGTTTGGAGGGTGAGGGGATGGTGGTTGGTGCAGACTGTTTTTTTCTGTAGCTTTTTTTGATAAGATGCCATGTGCTCAAAGACTACTGAAATGTACCAAAAGTCTATAAAGTGGTGATAGTTGGAGGTGGGCTATCCAGACTCAAGTTCTGTCATGATTTCTTTGTGGGCATTGCATGAGTGCCTACTTTAGGTTCAGGAAGGTTGAATACAGCCAGAACAGTCTTTCATCCTGAGAAATACACAGCTTAAGATAATAGGGAGGAACACATTCATTTGGCTTTGATAATGCATTTGACCAAGGCCTTTGGGATCTTGGTTTGATTTGGATTGAGAGTCATTGTTGGGTGAATGGTTAATCCCAGTTTATCCATTTTATAAGGATCAGGACTGACTAAAAAGGCAGACTCTGATGATTGATATCCAGGATATCAGAAGCTGTTTGTTCAATAATGAAGGGCCAGGTGCTTTGCTAGGTCCTGGAATTGTAGTAAACAAGACGGCTGCTGTCTCTGATGCCACAGGGCTTACAAATTCTGGGGAGAGAAAGCTAGTAAAGAAGCAGTTATGATACACTCTGGGAGTGCTATGGTAGGGTAAGTTTGGGTGCTTTTGGAGTACTCAGGTCCTCAACCCAGACCTGTAGGCTCAGGGAAGCCTTCTCAGAGGAAAGAACCCCCTCATCTAGAATTAGATGAAGACATGAGGGACCAAGTGCGAAGGTCAGAGTTTTGTTGGGTTTGAGAAACTGAATTTCAGTGTGATTAAAACGTAGCGTACCCAGTGGGCAAGAAGTTGGAGAATATGATGAGAAATGAAGCAGGAAAGGTAAGCAGAGGCCAAGGCCTTTTAAGCTTTTAGGATTAGGTGATGGATGGAGAAAAAGTTAGACTAGTCAGGAAGAGACTAGGTCCTTTTTCTGTAAAGGACCAGATAGTAACTATTTAGGTTTCATGGGTCTCTGTCACAACTATTCAGTTCCATTCGACTCTGCTGTTACGGCATGAAAGCATAGTATGGAAATGAATGAGCATGGCTATGTTCCAGTAAAACTTGATAAAAACAGGTGGCAGCTGGATTTGGCCCATGGAACACAGTTTGCCAACACCTGGATCAGACTATCATAAGAGCAGTAAGAAGCCATTAAAAAGTTTTAAGCTGTGTATTGATAAATAGATTTGTGTTTTAGAACATTTGCTCTGATTTCAGCGTTAACAATGGACTGAAGGGGATGATACTGAAGGCAGAGACCAGTAGGGAGCCTGTGATAGTTACGTGGGCAGCATTTTATATTTACCCCTTTGAGGCAGTATTTTGACACTTAAAAATTGGGTATAACTGAATTTTTGCATAATGTATATACTGGTTCTCTTTATTAATTTCCTGGCCATTGACTAGAGCTTAAAGCATGTCTACCAAAGGAGTTGGTGATACCAGCTCCTATTTTACAGACTAGAAAAGATGTAGGAAGGGGAAGTAGGTGTAGAATGAGTGAAAAGGTTTGGGGAAGTCTTTTCTAATCCAAGAAGTAGGGAATAAATGGAACCCTGGTAGGGATGTTGGTCTTAGGGCTCATAGCTTAATGTCAGTTGCTTTAAACTTATTGAACTATACAAAGAAGGACCCATTTTCCTAAGCTTCCTAGGGAATTGTCCACATTTTGTTATATGTCGTACTCAATCTTTCCTTTCCTTGCTGGTAGCAGACTGATGACCTTTTTCTGTTTTGGGGACTGTCTCCTGGTTCAGATATGATGGTATATGCCAGGCACAGGAGGCAAATAAAGTATCTGTTGAGTGCCCAATGAATTGTCTTTCTCCTTCTGTAAGCCTGCTTGCATTGCTGGAAGGAAGTCTGTAGGTTTCTGAAAGCCTATATTATGGTGTTTAGGTGACCTTGGGCAAATGACTTATCTCTCTGAGCTTTACTTTCCTATCTGTAAAATGCAGATAATGGGACTTAATAGGGTTTATTAAAGGATTTAATGAGCTAATGTATGTAAGATTCTTAGCACAGTGTTTTAATAACTTTTGTCACTAATAGTATTTGACACAATAATTTTTTTAAAAAGCAGCCCACAATAGGGTGAGTTGGCCTTTGGCTTAGTATGTTTGGGGGCCTCAGAGTTGTCATTAAGGCCATATGATAGAAACATAACCACTGGTGGTGGCAGCCAGTAGACAGGAGGAAGTTATAACTAATGCAAGGGGCCACTCTTCATAATGGAAAATTTTCAGACATCAGGAGTCCAGAAAATCAGAACTTTCTTCAGGGTAGACCTTAGCCCCAGTACCATCAGTGAAGTGAATTGAGTGAGCAGCTACCTGAAAGAAATTCACCAAAGTGTGACCAGTCATTTCTCCCATTTGGTTAGGGTCATTTATTAGTGTTTCCACCCTTGTGGCCCTACATCTTCATAAAGTGCCTCTTGAATGTTTTTTATTACTTTTCACCATCACTCTAGGAATGAATCAGGTGGTCAGTATTATTGTCTCTGCTACCCTTATGAGGAAACTGAGGCCCATGAAGGTTAAGTGTGTTGCCCAAGGTCATGCTATAAGGTACTGTCAGAGCTAGTGCAGATTTGCCTCCAGATGAAATTGTGTTAGTTTATTGCTGTGATTTCTCTTCCTTCAAGTGAGAGATATGTAGTCATTGCAGAACTGCAGACTGATGCATGCTTTGTCCAGATGTGCTAGAAATGATTTGGGTCCCACTTTATCCACTTGGTCCTGTTGGGTTTTAATTGATGACTGCTTGGACCAGGAAAGCAGATTCCCTTTGGGTCATTGTTTTTAGCCCCTCCCTCTTTGGGGACATTCTTGGGGGAGCCTTGGGTTACAAGAGATTGCTTTGATATGTTCAAAATTGTGCCTTGTGCCCCACAGCTACAGGTAAAATCAAAAGGCAGATAATTTATGGGAGTGTCAGAGCTGGCCGCTGGCACCTCAGGAGGCCATTAGTATGCCTGTTCAGACCCTCTGTGTCCTTGCAATTGATTCCTCTTTGCATGAGCTTGATTTGGGAAGCTGTAGATCTGTGGGTAGTGATTGGATGTGACAGTCCAAACACCGGTCCCTAAATTAATCCTTTTAATAGTATTCCAGCACCAAGGCAATGTGGTGTCTCTCTCTGTCTTTAACTGGGGAGGACAGAATAGGGTGGGCTAGGAAGAAGGAGAAAGAGAAAAAAGAAGCTTTGCTTGGGGCTTAGGGTGTGCTCTGTTCTAACATGTTCTGATTCCAGAGCACTTGAAAAATTTGGGCATATTCATTCAACAAACATTGATTCACACTAACTTTGTGCCTGGTCCTGTGCTGGGTGCTGGGAATACAAAAATGAGTAAAAAAATGTGGTCCTTGCCCTTAAGGATCTGTGTCTATCTCTGTGTTTCTTAGATTTTTTTTAAAAGTTTATTTATTTTTGAGAGAGAGAGCGCACGTGCACATGTGTGCACACACAAGCAGGGGAGGAGCAGAGAGAGAGGGAGTCACAGAATCCGAAGCAGGCTCTGTCAGCAAGCAGCTGTCAGCTCAGAGCCGGATGCAGGGCTCAAACTCACCAAGTGTGAGATCATGACCTGAGCCAAAGTCAGACACTTACCCGACTGAGCCACCCAGGCGCCCCATTTCTTAGAGTTTTTAAACTCCTGCACTATTAAGGTGGAAAAAAAAATCTTATGCTTTTCTTTAATGCTACTTGAAATTTTAAAATGCATTAAAGGGTCTGACAAGAAACAAGTCAAAGAAATTATGCTTTTTTACACACACATGCACACATACACATACCTATACCTGCTATCTTACATCCTTCTCACCTAACTCTGAAAATTATAGTAGGAGAAATAGATTAACTAAAATTTTACAATATAGTGAAACAAAAGTTATGAAATAGGAGTAGAATGTGTTACTGGATCACATTTAAACAGTTAGCTTTCTGATGGAGTGTCAGAGAAAGCTACTAAAAGGGAGTTTTGGGCTGCATTTTGAAGAAGGAGCAATAATTTGCCTGGTGAAAATGGAAGTAACATTCCAAAGGAGGGAAAGTAGCATTTGCCAAGGCACATATTTGTAAAAGGAAACATCACATCTGGGGACCTGAGCAAGTTCTGGTTGTCACCCTGCCCCTGCCAGTTCCTCTGCTCCTCCTCTGGAATTGTGTTTGAGAAGAGGCTTTGAGTTTCTTGTGTTACAGTTGTTTTAATCCAAGGCACCACTTCCTGTTTCTGTTTTTTGTACCCAAGGCTGCAATTTGTTTTTCTTGTTAAAATGTAATAAATGTATTATGATAACAAATTTGGGTGATTTTGGACAGACTTATCATTGCTTATGGTTGAGTTACTTTTAGTTAAAGCCACACCTTAACTCAAAGGAAAAACTGAAGTTGATATGCATTTTTAGCCCTTTGGATGATCTGGGACTCAATCAAGTAGGGAATGTGTGCCCTCAAACATGGGAGAGGAGAATAGGGCCCTGAAGAACTGAGTGCCTCTGAGGCTTAGTTTTCTTGTATGTAAAATGGGAATACTGTTCCCCACTTTGCCTGAGAGTTGGGAGGGCTGAATGACATGAAATATGTAGATGACTAATACAGTGCCTGGCTTATAATAGATTTTTCAGAAAATCCTGTTTTCCTTTCCTCTTTCTCATGCCTTAACAATATTAGCTCCCTTCTATTGCATACTTTCAACACACCAAGTGCTTTATATACATTGTGTGGTTGAACTGAACCCCAAACAGATAGGTATCATTATTCATTATTATAGTTATTGTTATTAAGAATGTATGGTAGAGAGGTGCCTGGTTGGCTTAATTGGTAGGGCATGCAACTCTTGATCTTGGAGTCATGAGTTTGAGCCCCATGTTAGGTGTGGAACCTACTTTAAAAAAAAAGAAAAGAAAAGAAAAAAAAAAAGAATATGTAGTAGAGTCAGGATTTCAACCT